TCGGAGGGGCTGCCAGCCAGCGCGGCCACCGGAGAGCGTCCGGGCACGACTGCCAGAGGCTGCTCACAGCCCAGGAGGTGGACCTGCAGCATCCCTGGGGACCGGGAGGGCTCCGTCAGATGCCAGCACCAGTGGTGTACCCTGGGGCCCTGGCAATGTCACCCTCTCCACAAGGTGGCTAAGCCAGGCCTGATGTACAGGAGAACTTCGCAGCCACCTGTCATACTCAGGGTGACCAGCTAGTGCCCCTGACCCCAGGCAGAGGTGCAAGACCCAGAGGCCTCCTGTTATCCCAGCACCCAGGAGGCTGAGACAGGAGGTCAAGGCCAGCCTGAATGACACAGGAAGCCACTGTCTCAAAAGCCCAAACAAAATGCCCTGACCTGAGGTGGACTGCAGGGCTGGAGGAACGAGGTGCTGCCCGGTGCTTGGGCCTCGAGCACACTATGGCAGGGACCAAAGCTTGGGGCATGGAGCAGGAAACTGGCTTTTGGCCTTGCCACACTTGCTCCTGGGTCCTTGGTTGAACAATGTGTCCTCTGAACGGTGGAGAGAGCCCCAGCTGTGACCCACCTCACCCACTGGATGCTAAAAGATAGGCTCATTTATAGGATCACTAAGAGTTTTGATTCAAAGGGCAGAGAAAGCAGCGGGGGGTTAGGATCTCTTGAGGACAAGTTGGGCCCAGGAGTATAATTTATGGGAGGCTGGGCCTGGATTAACAGACTATGCTCCATCTGGCCTCCTGGGGCTTGGAACCACACACTCAAGACTGCCAGTCAGTAGCTCCAAAGAGACAGATGTCAGTTCAGGGTAAGAAAGAACTTTCTAAGCCTGGTACGGTGGTGTACGGGAGTGTAATCCCAGCACTCAGGGAGGCCGAGGCAGGAGGATCACAAGTTCAGGCCTGGAATTCTTCCCCAAAGTGCTTTGGGGTCCCCTCAAAGGTAAGGGGAGCTATGAAGCAGGAGGGCACCAGCTACCCGTCAGGGCGGTGGGCTTCACAAGGGTCCCCGCAGGCTGTGGGTTCCCAAGTGCTGCCACTCGCAGCTCCTGGGCCACCCTGCTGCGTAGAGGGTGGGTGGGCAGCAGGCCCTCCAGCAGCCGCTCCAAGGCCAGCCGGAGCAGGTCCAGCTTCTGCGAGGATTCCTGGAGCTGGGTCTGGGCCTACAGAGGGCACAGAGGCAGGGACAAGCCATGGGGCACAGGGTCCAGGCCACCTGGAGAGACACCACCGGCCCCGACAGTATATGCATCCTGCACCGCCAGCCCTGCAGCGCCTCACATCACTTGCAGGGGGCCTGGCGGAGCCAGCAGCCAGGGCAGGGGACACAGCTGACCTCAGCCAGGGCCTTGCGGTCCTGCGTCCTCCGGCCACTGAGCAACTTCACCACATTCTTGGCACCCTCGGCCACTGCAGCCTCGATGTGCAGTCGGTGCTGCAGCTCCTCGGCCAGCAGCTCAGGGCCTGGGGTACAAGGGACGCTCAGGCCTCAGGCCCTGTCCTGCCCACCCCATTCGCTAGGTCAGGTCGGAAGGCCTCACCTGGCTCGGGGGACCCACTCGCCTCCAGGCTGCTGATCTTCATGCGGAGCAGGGCCACCTTCAGCTGGGAATCCCGCAGCATCTGCTGGGCAGCAGCCAGGAGCTTTCTCTCCTGCAGGGACATGACAAGTGTCCTCTCAGACCCGGGTGGGGACAGAGCCTCTCCACCAGACCGAGGGCGGAGGCTGGGCCTTCCTGTCACACACTGAGGCACAGCCCTCACCATGCTCAGAGTGGGGGCTGGGCGTGGATGAGGCCAGCGCAGAGCACTGTCTGTCACACTGCCCGGAGCTGTGTCTTCCTCATGCTCCTGGGATTGGGGGCTGTACATTTCTGCCACCAGAGTAGGGCACGGGACTATGCCTTCCCTAACAGCTTTTTTTTCTTGGTACCAGGGATCAAATGCAGGACCTTGTGCTTGCCAGGCAGGGGCGGTGCCACTGAGCTAAATCTCCAGCCCCAGGTTTTTGGGTTTTTTTTTTATACAGGGTCTGACTCTGTAGACCAGGCTGGCCTCAAACTCACAGCAAGCCTCCTGCCTCAGCCTCCGGAGTGCTAAGATCATAATCTTAGCATATGACAGCCTCCACACTCTGCTTCCCCTAACAGCTGAGAGCTGTGCCCCCCATGGACCCCAGGAGTCAGGCCTTACCTTGGGGGTGCCACTGGCACATGTGTGGGTCATGTTCTCAGCCCCCTGCTTTACCTTCAGCTCCACCTGCAGCTGCCTCTGCAGGGCCTCCAGGTGCCGAGCCTTGGACTGCTCTGCCCGTGGCAGGGGTCCGGAGGCCACAGGCTCTGTATGGGGAGAGTGGGGCACAGGAAGCTGTCACCAGGGCCAAGCCCCTCCCCCGGGGCACATGGGTGACAGGGCCAAGGGAGGAGGCCAGAAGCCGGTGGCGGGGAGCCTCAGCCTGAAGGCTCCGTCAGACCCCTCTGCTCACCTGCTGCCGGGCTGGGCAGCAGGACGCGGGCGTGCAGCTCCCGCAGCTCACTGTGCAGCTGCTCCAAGCGGTGGTTGGAGGATCGCAGCAGCTGCTGCACGTGGCCCAGGTGGCGGCGGTCTGTGGCCACGCGGCGCAGGTTCTCCATGCCCTCCTTGATTTTCAGCTCCTTCTGGATGGCCCGGCGGATCAGCTCCTTCTCATCTTCCAGAGGCCTCGGGCCAGGCTCAGCCTGCAGAAGGACAAAGAGGGAGCCACTGCAGCCCATGGGTCCAAGATGGGTGAGCACAGCTTGGGAAATTCCACCCTCAGAGCTCAGAGCCTGGTGAGGTGGTGCACACTGGTTATCTCAGCACTCAGGAGGCTGAGGCAGGAAGATCGCCACAAGAGTTCAAGGCCATCCTGAACTACATAGCGAAAACCTGTCTCAAAAAAAACAAAACAAACAAAAATAGAGAACGGGGGAAATCTGAGGCTGAGGTTCCTCTGGTGCTAATCAGGTTCTGGGTTGCAGTCTACAGGCTATGCTTACATTGACCGTCACTCCTCACGGCAACCCCTTCTAGTAAAGGGCTTTGTTTCACTTTGCTTTTTGGATGGGGAATCAGGGCCTTGTGCGGGGTGAACGAGCACTCTACCACCGAGCTCCCCCAGCCCTCAGAGTTGTTATTATCCCCACGTTACACAGGAGAAACGGGAACAGAGTGGCCCACAGCAGCCATACAGGGGTAAAGACACTGTTGCAGACACCAGCCTCTCCCTGGCAACCACGCTGCACTGTGAACTCTGGGAACCCAAGTAGGATCCTGGAGGCCGGAAAAAGTTCATGGCTGCCCAGCAGGGATCCAGCCAGGGTCACGTGGAGAAGGCAGCCAGTGGCCCAAGGTCCAGCCTTGCTCCTCTGACCTCCCAACTCCACAGGTGGCGAAGCAGGGACATCCATAGTACCCGGGGAGGTCACAGTCACGGCCTCAACTCAGGTCTGACAGGAAGTAGAAGGCGCTTGCTACGCCCTGGTCAGAGCAAGGAAGAAAATCCCTCTGGAGGTGACACTGCAAACCAGGGCACCCAGGACGGCCCCTCTCAGGGACCCTGGCAGCCACCCCGTCTTACCTTTTGGCTTTCCATCTCCTGAGCCCAGGGAAAGTGGCTGGCCAGCCTCAGGGACCCCCCAACCCAGGCTCCGCTGGCCTAGCTGTCTGAGGGCAAGGGTGGGGCTCAGGAAATCCTCTGACCGCCCCAGGCAAGAGGGCCAGAGCCAAAGGCCTGAGCAAACAAAGATCTCAGGAGCTGGGGACCCGGCTGCAGGGGTCCTGAGTCACCCAGCTGCTGCTGCAGGGCGGAGGCTGCAGGAAATCGGAAAATGCGTGTGAGCAGGGCTGGAACCGGCAGAGGGACTTCTTGGAGGGACAGCCGGGAGGGGGTGGACTCAGCCCCGAGGGGGGCCTAAACCATAGGTGAGGACACTCTGGAGGCCCTGTGTGCTACACCTAACACCCCGCCTACCCTGGGCTGGAATCCTGACTGCGCACCCCTTCTCAGTCCACACACACACACACACACACACACACACAGCCAGCACACCTATGGCCAGCTCCTGCAAGGAACCCCGGGTCCCTCCACATTCTGATTCTGGAGCCCGTGTACCCCCAAATTCCCACCTGGCTGCAGGGCTGGGCGGCCCCTGTTGTGCAGCTCACCCTTGCACCGAGGTGCTTGGGAAGGACCCCCACAAGCACACTGTCCCCTCCTCACAGCGCACGTCCTTCGCCTCGGGCAGCTCCCTAAGTGCCCAGAGGGCACCACCCGCATCGCTTTCTGGCTCATTCATTCCCGACCGACTCCGCGTCCCACCTAGAAGAACCGATTTGAGGGCGTTCCGGGTTCCACCCCGGCGGCGCACACCGTGGTTCCAGAGCCGAGGCTCCGAGTCACCCAGGGGACTTGAGCGACTCTGCCCAGGGCTCAGGTCTGCCTTGCGAAGGAGGGTCTCGCGGGCAGCGACACTGAGGGCCCCGCACCCTCGGGCCCGGGCGCTCACCGGCCTCCTCGCCCCCTCCTCCATGG